TTTAAGATCTATTATATTTATAAAATTAATTTTATGCAAAATACCGATTTGTAATGAAAATGTTCAGTTTGATGCACAACTGTATGGTCTACCGCCGTATGCGTGCAGTATATCGTAAAGTCTTAAACAAGTTTTAATAAGTTTTAATAAGTTTTGTAACATTAAGTTTAATTACTCTATTTACACTAAATTGTGCTAGTTTGATAAATGACACTGTATTATATGTTTCTATTATACTAAAGTATTGAACATACTATCAATGAAATGATAATGAATTCAACATTAGAGACTAAACAAATAAACTGAATGTGAAAACTAGATAATTTGATAGAAACTCGTGTATGAATAGAAATAGTGTTGCATTGACTGTGCATTGACTCGTTTGTGTGCATCACTCGCACTCTCAGTGTAAACAAACAACACGTGTTTTACAGTGAACTCCGTTTGTGTCACACATTTGTCAATTGAAATGAGCGGACAATTGAATCAATTGTTTTGTAAAGCAAACAAAATTCATTCATTACTTAAATGGTATTCAATGTATAAATATGTGGCAAACAATGCATTCAGCGGTCAAACAGTTGGTCTCCAAAACAAGTCTCAAATGACAAACCAATTGAATGCAAAATCACGTGAAATGGATTTAATGGCAAGAAAGTCGATGACAAAGTATATCCGTAAATGTGTGACACTGTCTGACAGTCGTGGCATCGACTGGAATCAGTTGGAGACACACCTCAAGACCTCCTATGGACTGACCGACACTGATGTCAAACTCATAGTCACTCCCATTGTCTGCAATCAAATCAATACAAATGAATTCATTTATCGAAACAATTTGTACTCATTTTATACTCATCTGAAGCCATGGATTAGCCATCAAACTGATCCACTTGTTCTCACTTACCATTTCTTAGTGTTAAGCAAATTAATCGATAGAATGAGTGAAGAAAAGACAGAATTAATGAATAGTTTGTTAAATAAGATAATGAGTTCACCCGTAGATGGTATGGACAGTGGACTGACCACAAGAATTGTGGTGATAATCCGGGAGTGTTTGTTATCTTTAGCCAAATCGAGTCCTTTTAACGCCATTCTGTCGGTCAAGTTGTGGTCAATTGTGTTGAATGTGTTCACCGAAGAGGACAACCCCTGGAATGGACTCATATTAAGGCCCTATATCTTCACCAATGAGTTGGTTGAATGTCTTCTCCAGAAGTCTCTGGTATCAGAAGCGCTAGAATTGACTAAAAATGCTTATAATTTAATAAATTGTCGTTTAAGTGATAAAAATGTTGAAATCTTTATGAAAACTTTGTTGAGTTTGAATTCAGTTCAAGAAAGTCAAGGATTTTTGGATCACTTGAAACTGACCGGTATTTTAATTATATTACAATTTATATATATTTTAATTAAGATATTAAGAAGTGTCGCACATATCTCTCATTAGTTGTTATCATTAATTTATTTTAATTTTATTTTTAATTTACTAAAAGTTTTTTTTATAATTAAGTGGTTTTATTTTTTAGAATAAGTTACCCTGGTATTGTAATTATCTGTTAAATTATTTAAATTGATTTTTCAGTCATTAAATTTTTTTTGTAAATGAGATGAAAAATCAATTTAAATTTTCGTACATATTTGACAAAATATTAATTTATTTTCATTTAAATTATAAACATTATATGAATCGCTAAATGCTTTCAATGCATAATTCAGTGCAAGAAATGATCTCTTTTTGCTTTCAATTTATCACTGGTTATAGTTATGATTAAGTAGTAAGTCATATCACTTTCCTACTGGTTTTCCTTTAAAACAGTTTATGTAATAACTTTTTAGATGTAATCTCTTTGCGACACAAACATAGGAAACAACAAATCATTTGTAATTCAAACGATGATTTAAATATTTTAATTAACTTCGGTTTCTAATAATTTAAATAAATAGTAAATCCCTTAAATCACTAAACAATACACCATTTATTTGGGAACAAATTTGTTTTAATCAAAATAACAGTGTTATTTCCAAATACGTGATTTGATTTGCATTTTAATTGATTATTTCAATTTTAGGCGCAAATATTGCCATCACTTTAAGGCCACAAACCGAGACTCTTGTGGAGCGAACCAGTTATGAGTGCAAACTTGTTGTGTCTGAATGTGAACAGCACTTCCATATCATCCAATCAAATCCAGAGCAATAAAATCTAAATAATTAATTACTCAAATTGCTTGATTGCCAAATGATATACTGTATTCTCAAATATTTGTTTGTACTGTACCAAGATAATACAAATTTAATAAACCACAAAAATTATTTACATCTTATGTTAATTTATTTGTCTTTATAATTAAAAGTGATTGAATTAAACAAAATCAATGGTTTCGTAATTTTGAGCCACGTTTGCGATAATTCTTTTCTTGTCTGTCATGTACTCGACATTAACTTATGGATAAGATCTCAAGTCTTACACAAAGATTACACAAAATTGAATTATAGTACAGTATACTGTAATTATGATATTTTGAATATTAAATATTGAGTTTCGAAACAATTATAAATTTATGACTACACTAAATATTTTTTGCATTTAAATTTTGAAAATTTAATATCCAAAAAAGTTCTAACAGATTTGGCTTGAATATCAAATATAATTATATATTACAAATGACTGATCTTTATTATTATAGTCTTTGGTTTAAGTTTATAAAAGTTATCTAAGATTTGTTTAATTTGTTATTCTTTGGCACTAATGTTCACTCCTTGTGTGACTGACACATATGATTAACACAAATAATTTGTTATTCAAGTAAATAACTTTTACTTTTTGACAAAAACCTTAACAGTATTTCACTGCCAAACTAATCAAAATTCAAATAACAAACACAAAATGTAAGCATTTTTGTGTTGATCTCCATTGAGATAAAGTCGATATTCTTTTATTTGGAAGATTAGTACGAAATGCATAATAACTTCAAATTGTTAGCTTAAAAATGTTAAATGAGTTATGTTTTATAATGTATGACACAATCAAGTATTTGATTTAATTTTAAAATTGATTAAAGATCATTTATATTTTCTAATATATTTAAAATATTTGACATTAATTATGTACTGTAGTTTTTTATTGCAAAGATTGAGATAATATATTTACGGTACAATAGGAAATCTTGGAAATAATTACTTTATTAACTAATAATTACATACATTTAGTTTATAGAAATATATTTCAATATTGTATAGCAATTCCCTTTCCATCAAATATTTTGTCCACAAATTAGTTTTAAACCAATATTAAACAGAATATTGCATAAATCCACTCATTCTTACAGTACTACATAAATTGATATATTATTATATAGAAACACAAGTTAATTTTTATGGTTTATTTTAATATTTAGCAAATTAGTGTAAATAATTATGTTTGAAACTCTTTTTGAAAATAACTGCTAAATGTTGGGATATTTCTGGTGGAAAGTCTTCTCCCAAACTCGAGCTCATCCGACTCGACTGAACTGACACTTAAATCCTTATCTGAAGCAATAGGTTGTGGATTGAGTTCCTGTTTAGCTGATGATCCAATTCTATAGCAAATGAAATATAGTTAATATATTTCTTATATTTCTTATCTATAGTTTAGACATAAATTTAATTCAAAGATTTTTATTTTGATTAAATTTCATTTTAATTGAACAACTTATAGTTTTAAACCATTCACTTGTTATCGGAAATATTATAATAAATATTTTCATATAATCTAAATAAAAGTTCATCAAAGTGTGAGTTTTGAAAATTAAATTAATTGCGGTTAAAAATGTTTAGTGATTGAATCAAAGGGTTTAATAAGAAACCTACCCGCTCTCTTGGAGTACTATTATATTGTTATCGATAGGTTTGGGATCAGTTTTCGGTGGAGTCAATGGTTTCTTGAACTGTAGGCTCGTTACGAATTTCTGTAGGATTTCTCTGTTAAATGTTTGAGTTTGTGTCGAGGGTTTAGCTATAGTTCTTCTAATACTGGTTTGAATTGGTTGTTGAGTTGCCTTTGGATTTGGGTTAAGAGAAAGTGAGGGCAAACCAGAAGCTGATGGAGCGGTCGATTCCGAGTGACTTTGAATTAAGAATCTATTTTTCAGTACATTTTTCTTTGGATTCGTTTCAACACTCGGAACAGCCTTTTGTGTGAACGAAGACAATGATTGAGATTTGGGAAGAGAGTCGCGTTTTAATGGTAGGCCTATATTTGGAGCCGATTGGAAAGGTAGCGATCGGAATGATAGAGGCTTTACTTGAAATTGTGTTTTGGGAACCGTTGGTTGGCTTAAGACCGGCGGTTGAGTGGCTGTTATGACTTGAAATGACTGTTGTTGTAGTTGAAGAGGTGGAAGTGTTGGAGTGATCTGTTGTTTTGGTTGAGCGGGAGTTGGAGCAACTGAATTGACATCAGTTTGTGATTCAGAGTTACTGTTGATTACGTCGACGGCAATCATATTAATTGGCATTTCATTTGGCGGTAAATTAATGGCTGGAAGAGTAATCGGGGGTAATATATGAATGTTATCATTGTTATTATTGGAGACTTGTGTTTGAATGGATTGACTCGGAATAGTTTGGAAAGGGAATGCCTGTTGGAATATAAGAGCATTAGTGGGCAGTTGTATTGGCACATACAACGACATGTCTCTCAAAACTGATTCAATGGTCGGGATCTGATTATTAACAGCAGAATCATTGGGAGTATTATTTTGATCGACGGATTGAGTGGTTTGTGGAGCCGATGGTTGTGCCGATTGTTGAGTAATGGCTGATCTCTGTTGAGGAACTGGTCTTTGAGACGATTGAGTTTGTGGTACAGAAAATAATTGTTGAAAAGCTAGCGGTAAAAAGTTAAATGTCTGTTGGGGTACTGGCTGTGAGGGTATGGTATTAATATTGGGATTGGATTGAGGGACGGGAGTTTGGGTGCTCTGTGGCTTTGACAGAGGGATTAAGTTGTTTTGTGGGACTGTCTGCGAGGGAAATGTATCGATAGGAATCGACTCATTCTTATTGATTAAGAATAGGGAAGACGACGAAGGATTGAGTCTTAGCTGCAGAGGTTGTAACTGAAGAGGTGGCAAATCAAAGACAAACGGCTGTTGACTACCAAAGGTTTGCGGTTGAGTGTTCTGACCATCGATTAGATTGATGACACAAAACCAGATAAATATCTATAATAAAAATCAAACTATTATTTCGGAAATTATTCTGTAGTAAAGAATAATAAAAATTAAATTACAATTACTTTTTGAATCATTTTTCTATTGTGTTGTGTTCAAGAGTTTGCTTTGAAAAATAATGTTTACCAATCTTTCATTTCGTTAATTACAGCGCTTCTTTACTATCGATTACTCAAGTCTGTTGTTAAGAATACGGAATAAGCTACGGTATGTTTAACCCTTAAAAGAAATAAGGAATGTTTACTATGTTTAGTCTCTACTCTTCTTTCACTTCTAAATAAACGGTGTCCCAAATGTAAAAAGAATGTTTCAAAAGATCAAAAATATGTGAGATAGAAATTTCTTGCCGAATATTATAAGTTAATGTGACATAAAAACAGGTGAAATGAATGTTAACTTTAACTTTATAGTTATACGATTGGGTAATTAGAGTTTTAGTTTTAAAAATATTCAAATACTATATGCAATATCTTAAACTTTAAATTCTTTCACTTATTCTTTCACTTAAGTAATTAATGTGTGAATCTATTAAAAGATGTATAATTTGTTAAATAAATAACAAAAGATCAAAATAACATAATTTGAATGGAAATATAATTAATACACATTTTGATTACAATATTAAATTAAGAGCTTTTATTAGCGAATAAATGATATTTTTCTTAAATCATTATAATTTTGAGAGATTTAAACATCTAATGAACTCTTCTATGGCTTTTCGATAAGTATGTGATCTATCGCTCCAACACTTTTCCGGTGTATATATATCTGGAGACAAGAACAGTGACCATAACCGCCATACATACTGTTCCCGTCAGTCCCAACGCGAACAGACCTTCTCTCTGACGACGGATTCTTCTTCTTCTCTTTGAACCAGTGATGTCTGGCATCTCTTCTCAACACTCAATCCAATGGTGTCTTTATTGGCCACAAGAGATAACGGCTTTTATAATGAATTTAATTATTAAACGCGAAATTTGTTTCGAGTAGTAATTGTTCGCACGATTTGTAATAATGAATGAATGAATGAGTTTTATTTAACTCATTTAGCTATTTATTTCATTTATATTACAGTTAGAGATAAAATTCAAATTTACGATAAATCAAAGACTTGTCTCAGAGCACCAAATAGTAGATCCAGTCTTGAATTCATTAAAAGTAGCGATGAGACAGAAGACTATCACAGACTCTGTGGTCATGAATCCATATATTATGGAGAAAATACTGAGACAACTGGACATCAGATCCCTTTCCAACTGT